GAAAGACTTTTCAAATTAGTTGCGAATTATGACAAAAAAATACTGTTTCAGAGTTTTTGAGAGGTGTGGCACATAATATATTTTACTAATTAGCTATTGCAGTAACTACATACTTGTGTGCGTGCAAATAATGCCTCAGAAGATTTTTTTCTTTCAAATGATTTCCATCAGATGTGTTTTATTCGAAATTTACAGATACCTACATCATTATCATTTGCAGGCGAATTAATTCAAAATCAACACATCTCAATTTTTTCGAAATATTGACAATACTTTATGACATGAAATAAATTGTGCCTAAAAAAGTTTTCCACGGTTCATGGATTTTAATAAATAAATCATCGGCGATCAGTTGTGCGGTGAATATTTTTCCGACGAATTGCAGTCGGTGAGCTTTCCTAGATCCGGAATTCACCATCTCAAGGAGCCTTTCCACGGTTCAAACATTTCGCAGCTTGTGTGACTTCCTCTAAGTATATAGTAATATTCTTCCTCTAGGGCTTTACAGGTGAGTCTTCCTGCTGTTGCTCTGGGTTAAGGAGTTCCTCGAAGTACTCCCTCCATCGTTGAAGAATGTCATCATCCTTGGTAAGAGGGTGTGCAGATCTGTCTTTCAAGGCTTTGAGACTGCCCGACTTTTCACCTCGGAGCCGGCGGATGGTCTGCCAGAATACTTTGTTTGCCGTGTGGAAATTCGACTCCAACACGATCGTAACACAATCCTTCCGTTCTCCGTGACTGCTTATTCGTCGGATTCTCCGGTCATTTTCACAGCTGATCATCATATTTAAGAGATGTTCTACTATCCGCAACTTCTGGAAGAATTCGACGGCACCTGACCTAGCATAGACATATATCTATCGAACTGAATGTCTCACCCTCAATAACTTTCAAAATGTTTTGCCTGTGAAACTGATGTATAAGATCATGCAGCTTTTTTTCACATTAGAATAGCTTCCACCCGCAGAGGTTCAGGATTCAACAGCCTTAGCTCTTCGTTGACGAGAATTCAACAATATCCAGTTGATATTTGGCGACTTCCTCAACTAGCTTCTGCTTCTTCCCTCTCAGTGAGAATATATTTCAATTTCCGGCTGTAGGCTGCCAGTGTCATTATCGATCCCTTGGAGCCTTATCCGGTATGCTAATATGGCGCTGAGCTGTTCTGCTTCCTCCGCACGAGGACTGTCGACTTTTCGTGCCTATTTGAGTTCCCCAACTGTCTGCGCGGCACTTGATCACTTGGGCTATCCCCGAGCCGGTATAATGTTCGATGAGGGTAGTCCCCAACACTCGTCCTTCCTCAAGCAGACTTGCGAGCGGCAACGGCGAAGTTGACATGCTGGTTATGAAAAGAAACTCCTTCCTCCTCTTGGTCGTCTCAGCTCATATGATCGAAAACTATGTTCGGTGCGGTACAATCGTACCATATGGATCAAACAGACATGTGGTCACTCTTCAGTTCCTGTGAGATATTGCAATATTGTTTGAGGTCTTCCACGAGAGATTCTACCGCTATGGATAAACGTTCGGCAAATGTTTCACGAGGTAGCAGCCGTTCATTCGCTGCAAACGGGCCCATCGTCTTCAAGGCATTGCCCTATATGTATGCAGTCAACTGGTCGCTTTGGTTCCATGTTCTTTATCATGTTACTGGCTGCTAATGCAAACATGCAGCGATTTTTAACACCATTTGTTTGTCGCTTGTTGACAGGGCGAACAGTTGGTAGAAGAGAATGAATTGATTTCGAGAAGCAATGCGCAGAAGTTATTCTGAATCAGTAAAGACTTGTTTTTGACCGGCTGACGCGATCGGTGATTGGCTATCGAGAGCATTCAGGGAAAAATTGTCCTCTTCTTTGAAGGCTTCCAATTCAAGATTTAGAGACAAAAAGCATTTTTCGTAGTAAACCTAAGCGAGGGACGGCGGAACATCATTATTATAGGCCCACACATAGTCAAGGTGAAATTTTCTCATCAGTTTGCCTCTCCTTCCAAGTGCATATTTATTATCTTGATGG